GCCGCTCCAAGATAGGCATCTCAAAGACTGGTCCCAGGATGCTCGAACACTTCCTGCGTTTCACTCATCTGTAAATTGCATGGGCTAATAATTTTATTTTAAAGCGATGCTGGGGGAAATGCGAGCAGCGGTCCATGATAGCCAGCACGCTTAAGACCAGCTCGAGACCGTCGTCTCCTGCGCTGCTGCGGTGGGGAAATGTCACTGTTATATAAAAGTAAATATTTTTTCTATTTTCAAACCATTTCCCAATCTTAAAGACCAAGTAATGTCAATTTCATATTAATCCCACAACTTTTCCTTGAGGTAATAAATGGGTTAAATACACGGCGCCTCAAAAATAGGTTGCGACGCATGTGAAGTCAGTGGTTCAGAAATACAAACGGTGTTCGTCCCGTGATAAAGAACTTTACCATCATCTTCTATGTGACGTTATATGAGGAAAACACGACGGACGGCTACAAGAAAGAGCTCTTCAGTCAGAAAGCCGCTATACTATCGCGCATTTGCTCTATATTTTGGACAAAGAAGTCAGTTACACCGCATTAATTCTTAGTATATTCATTCGCACACTTTAAATTGCACAGGACCAGTATAATGATGAACTTGGGTTCATCATTTTGTATTTTTTGGAACTAGAAACTACCGTATCAAAATGGTTTTTAAAGCTCGTTGATGGAGCGTCAAAAAAATGCCGTCTGCCATGGATGCCGGACATCTCATATGAGCACAAGTTTGAGTTTAAAATGAGTACATCAAGAATTTGCCTTCGAGCTGGAAAGTTTTTATTGGTTCTCAATAGGGTGCGCTGCGAAAGGCCATCACAAGCTTGAGGAACGTCGCCGTTGACATTCCTTCCCTCGATTGTTCGAGGACGCTTGAAATTCCAAGGTATCTTTTTGTTTGGAATAATACAATGCATTTTTCTTCTTCTGAATGTCTCTCTTTTTCACAAATTAAATACGTCTCACTCTATTACAAATTAATTAAATGCTTATTTCGTTTATTTAAGTACCATAAAAGAAATTCCCTCCTCATTTCCAATCCTAGGTACCAGATAATTCAATGCAAGGATAGTCAACAACACACATTTAATAGACAGAGATATCTCGTATATGTTGTGATCTTTACCCAACTCAACTATTGAATCATCGAAGACTAACTCGCGTTTTCGTCTATCAGTGACCAGTTTTAAATAACTGTTAATAAAAAATGTTTTAAAATCTGATGTTATTCACGGAAAAAGTGCTCAGTTTCACCAGTGATTGTATGGCTAATAATAAATTATAAAGTGATGTATTATTAATTCGATTCAAGCAATTCGCAGTTAACTTTTATCTGTGTGAATCATTTAATCGTAGAGTTCACGAGTGGTAATTGCAATACATATTCTTAGGATATCATTATTTAAAATTGTTTATCCTGAAAGGACTATATTTACAATTATTATACTAACTAACGATGGATCAGAGTAATTAANAAAAAAATCATTATATATCTTTAAACTACGACCACGAAAAATGATAATTAGTATATTCAGGAACATGTTTGCGGCAGAGAACATCCCTCGAGGCTTCGTGTTTTTTTGAGAGGCGAGCCGTCGTCGCTTCAGATGATGACAAAACTTTTCTGCTGCAACCGCAAAACTTTTTCAAAGTCCCGCCAATTTCTCCGCTTGAAATCCTTTCCGGAAAACGTCTGGTAATTTATTATGCAAAATTTGCCTACGAAAAATGTCCAGTTCAGACAGCCTAGCATCCCAATTAGTCGCTCAAGTCTAAAATCAGGAGAATTTTGAGGGTTCTAAGTTGCTACTTCTATTCAGAAGAGAACGAATGTCATTTGGCATCTATCAGTAGTTTTCGTTGATCAAACAAACTGGCTATTAGGATGGGCTCCTTTCCAAAGCCTTATTGGAGTCTAACGGTAAAACTTAGCCATGATTATAATTAACGACTATGACAATTGCATTCCATGGAAATCAATTGCATAAGCAGGACTTTGGAGTGACAATAAAGACGCAATAAGCTAAAATTCGATACCTTTACATGAAATTTACCCTGAATTCAGCCGAGGACCGACAAATTGTGTTCCATACCATTCAAAAAGATGAAAAACCTTACAGGTAGTCTGGCAAACATGTACAAAAATTAAATCCGTAGAAAAAAATGCCTTCGAGCAGAGAAAATACATGTATTTCAAGGCATCGTGTATTACTTCAGGCAAATAAAGGTCATAATAATCCTTGAGTTTCGCTGTATGTGTTCTACATCAAATATTCAATGCACTGGACACTATGAAGGAGTTCTGTAACGATTACACATCGAAAATTCCCCGCATATATCAGATGACATTTGAAGCAATTAACCCTCTCGCTTTGACTCGTTTTTTAACACTCTCATATATGACTTCTCTACTATGTCCGGTGTCAATGTGGCGTCTCATTGTATTCATTTTAATTAAATTATAAGATTTGAACATGTTAAATGAGACGCATTATTCACTAGACGTAACAGAGAATGACGGAAGAGTACCAGACCTGAGTCAGCGTCTGGACAATATCACATGATAGCCGTGATTTTATTAAAGGGCTGGCAAGCTTAGTAATTAAAACCGCTATAACGACCGCACCGCGATTTAACTCGCTTTAGAATTACTCCGAGAATGGTTGACGTTCTAGTTAGAAAAAAAGATGCCTTCGAGCACACAAACTACATGTATTTCAGGGCATCGTGTATTACTTCAGGCATATAAGGGTCATAATAATCCTTGACTTTCGCTGTAGGTGTTCTACATTAAATATTTAATGCACTGGATCCTATGAAGGAGTTCTGTCACGATTACACATCGAATATACCCCGCATATATCAGATGACATTTGAAGCAATTAACCCTCTCGCTTTGACTTGTTTTTTAACACTCTCATAAATGACATCTCTACTATGTTCGGTGTCAATCTGGCGTCTCATTATATTCATTATAATTATATTATAAGATTTGAACATTGTAAGACGTATTATTCACTAGACGTGATAGAGAATGATGGAAGAGTACCAGACCTGAGTCAGCGTCTGGACAATATCACATGATAGATCACGCGATAGCCGTGATTTTATAAAAGGGCTGGCAAGCTTAGTAATTAAGGCGGCTAACGACCGCTCCGCGATTTAACTCGTGTTGAAATTACTCCGAGAATGGTCGACGTTTTAGCGTATACCTGTGTCGTAACTCTCATGTATTACCGCCCCGTATCAGATAAGTTCTCTAGACAGATGATGTCTCACTCATCCCTCACGACTTAAGTCACTTATCACGGTCCTCAGTTGGCGCTTAATATATAGCGCCTGACACATATTCTAAATAAATTGTACAAGGAGACATAGTTACAAACTTAATTATTAATGCTCTTCTCAGTTCTCATCCTCACGTTTTCGCTCTAAATTATTATTCTAGCAAAAACGGCCGCGAGAAGAACGCGGCCCCATGCAGTGAATGCCTTGGCCTTGAAGTGCTGACATATTGGGATAATCTTGATTTTTCTTTAATAAATAATTATTGGAACTTTCAATATTAGTAATTCCGATTTTTAAAACCTCGGTTGAAACAACTCAAGCTGAATAATACACTGAACTAGTATTATTGCCTAAACCGCAAGTTGTGAAAAAATCCCTAAAATTTATGACGCCTATGTAACCATTTGATATTTAGTCACAAAAAACTTAGGATGAGCTAGAAAAGCGGGTTAATTTTAGTTATCCAACACAACTATAAACTTTTATTCGTCATTTAAATGAATCATTGAAACTACTAGAGTTGGCCTCATAAATGACTCCTCTGTTATGTTATAGAGATGTTTTCAATCACAGTTCACGCATCAGTCAGCAGGAAACAATATCGTTGCCTGCCAAGAGTTTTATCAGAGAGAACGCATCAATCTTTTCATGGAACATTTATGCAGACCTGATCTGCTCAAGTGCTTGGCTTTGTCAAAGCTTTTAGTTTAAGCTCGCCATGTAAACTTTGTACATTTATTCGTTTGAATTCGTAATGAAAGCGTCAGAAAGCTCCAGCACTTAATGTTGAGCATAATCAAATGCAGCAAGCAAGTGCTTTGCATTCTTTTGGTTATTTTGCAATATATGTGTAAATTGGAACCATATCTTAAATTTGTCCTTTGATTCCATTAACGGTATGACCAAAAAAGCTACATATGAAAATTTGTCGTAAAACTTTGCATTGTATTTGTTGTTATTCGACAGTTCTCAACATGACAAAATTCCGTGAGTCTGTCAGTCAGGCAACAATAGTGCTGAACATTTACTATTGTGATTTTCTGATGCATTGGAATAAAAGAACTCTAGCTTGAGCTGCGACTGCGACTTGCTATGACCATAACTCTGGAGTCATCATAGAGAACTCTTCATGCGACGCTTTCAAAAACTCTCAAAGGATTTGCTTGCTTTGATTCTGGGAACGGCAGTAAAAGGGTCTGGAATGTTCTTAAGTTAATTCTAAGGGCACTTTACTTCAGCCCTCAAGACTGTGAGACGGAAATCTTCGTAGGCTTCAATGCTCATAGGCTTGAGAGCAATTTGGTAAATGGCTTGCAGCCTTAATATTTTTAATCTTTCTAAGTAGATATACATATGTAGACCTTTGAACTATCACGAAAGAAAGAGGAATGTTCTTCTCAAGCAGTTTGTTAAAAATTGATGTACATCTTTTTGAATAGATTACATCTGATTCTTGAAGCAAAAAATCAATGTAATAAATTGATTTTCATTATCCCGCACTCTCATAATTAACATTGGTTTACAAAATGTTGCGATTAGGAAAATGTTAGTTATTACCCAAATCCGGTCTGTCAAATTTTCCCTTTATTGCTGAATATTCGCAGAACAAATGATTCGCCTCAAATGATATAGGCGTCTTAGAGCATAATTTCTAGGATTTAATTTACCCGAACCAAATAATTGAGCACAGAGCATGCAGCATGTAATATGGTCGGTGGTTATGTCGGTGTGAGTGGTGATGACGACCTCAGTGCTGGTGTCGGTCCCAGTGGTAACGTCGGTCCCAGTGGTAACGTCGGTCCCAGTGGTAACGTCGGTCCCAGTGGTAACGTCGGTCCCAGTGGTAACGTCGGTCCCAGTCTTAACGTTGGTCCCAGTGGTAACGTCGGTCCCAGTGTTAACGTCGGTCCCAGTTCGGTCCCAGTGGTAACGTTGGTCTCAATGTTAACGTCGGTCCCAGTGGTAATATCGGTCCCAGTGTTAACGACAGTCCCAGTGTTAACGTCGGTCCCAGTGTTAACGTCGGTTCCAGTGGTAACTTCGGTTCCTGTGTTAACGTCGGTCCCAGTGGTAATGTCAGTCCCAGTGTTAACGTCGGTCCCAGTGGTAATGTCGGTCCCAGTTTTAACGTCGGTTCCAGTGTTAACGTTGGTCCCAGTGGTAACGTCGGTTACAGGGTTAACTTTGGTCCCAGTGGTAACGTCGGTCCCAATGTTAAGGTCGGTCCCAGTGTTAACGTCGGTCCCAGTGGTAATGTCGGTCCCAGTGGTAATTTCGGTCCCAATGTTAACCACAGTCCCAGTTTTAACGTCGGTCCCAGTGTTAACGTCGGTTCCAGTGGTAACTTCGGTTCCTGTGTTAACGGCGGTCCCAGTGTTAACGTCGGTCCCAGTGGTAATGTCGGTCCCAGTGGTAATTTCGGTCCCAATGTTAACCACAGTCCCAGTTTTAACGTCGGTCCCAGTGTTAACGTCGGTTCCAGTGGTAACTTCGGTTCCTGTGTTAACGGCGGTCCCAGTGTTAACGTTGGTCCCAGTGGTAACGTCGGTTACAGGGTTAACTTTGGTCCCAGTGGTAACGTCGGTCCCAATGTCAAGGTCGGTCCCAGTGTTAACGTCGGTCCCAGTGGTAATGTCGGTTCCAGTGGTAATTTCGGTCCCAATGTTAACCACAGTCCCAGTTTTAACGTCGGTCCCAGTGGTAACGTCGATCCCAGTGGGAAAAATTTGGTCCGGGGGTAGTGTCGGTCTCTGTGGTGATGTCGCCCTGCGTTTTGACGTCTGTCCCGGTGCTGATGTCAGTCTCATGTGCTTATGGCGGTCCCAGTAGTTTCGTCGGTCTTTCTGATGTCGATCTCAGTGTTGATGTCGGCATCAGGGTTACAGCAGGTAACTGTGTACTGTATATGTGTGAGTTACGTATTTGCTCGTTTTTTAACTAAAAGCGGCCAACCGGGGTGATATTGGATGGAATCTTTCGCTGCTTAATGTTTTTAAAAGTCTGGTTTACTAATTTGTTTCATTCATATTTTCAAAGGAACACGATGAGGAGCGAATTGTAAAGTTGTATCTCTGCTGTATATCTTATTTCAACCATAAAAAAATTTGCGAAGTGATCTGAACGTAGTTTCGTTCACTATTCAGGTAATCGAAAGAAAGTCTTCTCAATAAGGTTTGATCTAACATTAGAAGGGGCGGAAACGAGAATTCGGAAAAATGAATGGTCTTATTGTCCATATACTGAAACTTAAAAAATAGCAATATATATATTGCTAACTTTATACGTTTCTTAAAAATTATTCTCCTTGAAATGAAAAAATATGATGAATTATAAGTTTACTTAAACCATTTTAACTCTCGATAAATAGAGAAAGGGCTATATATGGGAAGCACCAAATTGAATCTATATAAAGATATCCCCGTATCATATTTATATATAAATTGGGGAAAAAATCAGTGACTACCATATTGGTATCAAAGATAACGAAGATATTATAAGAAAATTTGCAGCTAGAACGAGATTAAAAATTTTGTACAAGTTTCCGACCTTGAGGTAACAAAAACCGTAATTGCAAAAAAGTTTACAATTACTGAAAACCTTTCAAGGAAAACTATCACTAATTTTTTGGTGTGGAAACGTTTAGTTGTTTGGTTATCGCGGAATGGTTCGTACTGCGCTCGGGATATTATTTCGTGCGCAATGAATAAACCCAGATAGGAGCATATAATTCATTAGAATGTTGCTCTTGAATGGAAATAAAACGCTACTGCAGTGTTAACTCAATTATTTTGATACATACTCTCCTGCATAGGTGATAATGAACCTGATGTTATTTGGCCGGTTACTGTAATTAAGGCGCTGAATAATGTCCGCCATGTAATGATCTGCCTCGAAATAATGGCTCGAAAATAAATGAAAAATACAGCAGTGTTCCATAGCACCAAATGTTGAAATTTTCTCACGCTGAAATAAATGAAAAATACGTCAGAGTTCCCTTAATACAAACGTTGAAATGTTCTCAATAGTTCATTTTATGAACGCATTCGACTTAGGGTTGTTGCTTCGTGCATTTCGTAGAGAAAACTTGCGGCAATTGTACGGGTAGTCGACTAAATCTTCATCTGCGCTGCACCGGCAGAGAGCGCGAGAAGCTCTATGGAGCTTATGTTTGTTTAGGGTCTACCACAAGCTCAGGGTGTGTCTCATAATTCACAATCCTCCATGCATATAAGTGTACTGTTGGAGCCAGGAGACCACTCTTCCTAGCCTCAAGGCCTGTGTTTTGGTGCAGGAATACGTACGTCTATTTCCGACCACTCAAGTAGGATATCAGACTGCGTTAGATTGAAGAACCCAATCATGCTCCTTTAACTATATTTCGGGAAAAATTAGCCTAAATTATCGGAAAAATTATTTATTATTATCGGTTATTATTATTTCAGCATGTTCTAGTAGTGGAAATAAATTTACTTACATCATACAAACCACCACTTATGGACACAAATTATCATAATTTCTCAGTGAGGGCTCATTAAGTTTCTCATGACTTCTGGAATTAGGTGAGAAAATGTATGACTAGCAGCAACTCTCAAATTTCGTAAGCCGAACATAAATAAGAGACGACGCATTTTATTTGCTTCTTGGTATTTTTGAGATGTTCATAGCAGATATGCTTCTTAGAGCTCTGAAGCAATGATATACTTCTTATTCATGATGAGATTGCGTTCTAATATTAAATGCGATCTTAATCTTAATCTCTTAATTGGATCTCTNACCAAGTATTGCCTCATTTGTTATCCCAGTAATGTTCTGCAGCTGTTTTGTTTGTGCTCACAGCAGGGATAAGTTATAGGGTAATTCTTTCTGAACTTATAGAGGTCGAATGGAGCCAACAAATTTAGCTTTTTGGCACGTAAGTTATTCGTCCAGTCTACTGGTGAAGGAAGGAGCGAATAATGCATCGCCAGTGGAGAATATATTTCCTCTTCGAAATAGTGCAAGGGCTTACAATGAAAGAGTTCACATTGGAATCCTGGAAGTCTGAAAGTCAAATATTTCGGTGTTTGACTGGGAAGGCCTCACAGAATTTTGGCGTAATTGTGACTTTGAAGTCAACTGATTTGTAACTCGACATTATCGGTTGTCTTTTCAAAACTTACATAAAATCGTGACCAATCCATATTCTATTTATTTTTATAACCAGTCAATCACTAAATAATCTGATCTACAGCATGAGCCACTCCGCTTCGCACATCCACAGATAGGCTAGTCGTCGATCTAACCTCTGTGATATTGTAAAAATGATAAAAACGCCGTAAAGTTTTTTCGTAATCCCTTATAGTTCTTTCGATCTTTACTAACATGCCAGGCAGCGTTGAAAGCAAATAAATTTCAATGTGAGGAATCACAGATTGTAAGTTGATACTGCACTGAACTTTTATAAGAGCGTTCGAATGCTGTCGGAATTTCATCCAAACGACCAGAAGTATAGAGTAGGATCATATACCATATGTCTCTCTGTTATACGCATAATCAAGCGTATTAAAATAAGAGTGAGTGTCATGGATGTAAAAGAATATTTATTTACAGAAGCCTATATTATAAAATAGAGTGCGTGTGCTACGATGTGGAGGAACATGCATTAAAAACAAATTATAAGAGGTTGGAAATTTAACACTAATCAACATTGTAAGGTATGCTGTGACATGATTAGCATATGGAACAAAATGTATTTGCTGAAGCAGCGAAGACGAGCGTTTAATTTGGAAGTTACATTAATAATTATAATTAAACGTATATTATTTTAAAGACGAAATTTTCAGATCTGCATAATGTTGTAATGGTCAATTTCGATGCAGCATTTAACGATGTTCCAGCATGAAAATGGGTTGATTGCTCCTGAAAAATGTCTTATTTTCCTCTTAACGAAAGGAAATAACTTCTCGAAAATTTCGAACTCCGTATCCTTTGAACTAGATTTACTTATGGTTTTCGGAAGTTTATTCAAAATAATTATAATCATAACATTATATTATTAATAATATTTGTACACTGATGCCCATAGACATGAATAAAAGTCTTCTGCGATAAACCTTCAAATCAAGATGTTGCTCACTTATTCTTGCAAAAATGTGTTATTCATTCAGCACGATGTTGTTCATTATCCTCTAATATAAAATAATTGGCTAGTTTTTAAAAGTCAGGGATAAATGCTGTGAGGTTTAATGAACTATCCCCTGGAGCTCAAAATTCTTACCTCAATCAAGATGAAGGTAATTTAAAAACTGAAAAGAGATAATTTCATAGGTACTATTTTTTCCTTTAATCAGATAAAATTTCAGGAGTTTTTCGAAGAAAATGAAATGAAATGAAAAATGCTTTAATTTTCTAATCATCTCAATAATTGTTTCCGAGTCCACCGCAGAATTGTCATTGTAAATAAATACTGCTTAGCATCTTATTCATTGATGTAGTAAAAATGATCTTTACTGAATTGTGGCTTGAATATGCGCCCATTTACAAGCAATCGTTAAATTTATGTCGAACATACACCACCACCTCATTACAGCCTACTAATTAAATAGTTTGTCCATAGTCCGGAGCTTTACTAGCAATACTCAGCGGATAATCTGGACCGAAAAATCACAGCAATACTCAGGTTATCATATTGTGTTAAAATTTGAACGTGTATATGACACTATTGACTGCATTTTGACAGGCTGCACTATTCACAAGATCGAACATTATTTCAATTGTAAAATACCTAGGAATAAAAAATCAACAACTTTATAGTTGCAAAAACTATCAAACATATTCGAAAGCATTTACGTTCTTCGAACCCGGCCTCTACAATTTACAGAATTTCTTCACACACTTAAATTGACTTCCAAAGTTTCGTTTCCTACTAGATTGTGCGGCCAAAGTTTATGGACATTTTGCGGTCAGAACTTGGGTCGGTCCTGGATCAACGAATCTCCAGAGCAACATTGCTGCCGCTCACAAACTTAAAGAAAAAACGAACAATTTTATTCTCGCAACACACACAAAAAGCTCGATTAATTCGAATGCATGTGTCGGTTTATATCGTACACCCAAAAAATTGAGTGAGACTTTATCCAAAAAGCGATGCTTTTAAGCGCATTTTCTCATTTATGAAAAAAATGTACTATTGCGCTCGCCATGTCCGTCTGTCCGTCCGTCCGTGACTTCACGTTTTCGTCGACGGGAAAATGCGCTCTCTGTCACTCACTGCAGTGAGTACTGAGTTATATTTTTGTCCTTATCATCCTAACCATCGAGTCATCCTAACAAGTATGGCCGGGCTGAAGGTGCAGCAGAGGTGGAGGTGCTCTGCTCATGAGGTGGATAAGAAGGAGTCACGATTTGCAAACTATGACCCGTTTATATTTCTGGGTGATAAAAATTGCTTTCATGTACTATGAGATTCGAAAATAACTGCAATATAATGGATCATACCCACCTTAATAACAAAAACTCCTTGAAGGATATACTTTTGAAAAAGTTTACAAAATTCTTCACTCATCCTAAACCATCTTCTGCTCCTGAAATGAACGCATGAAAACATGCGTAGCAATAAATTAATGTTGAACTACATATGGAATTGGTTGGAATTAGGATAAATAAATTATTTGCTAAGCTTGAAGCCTGACCTTCTTAGGCCTGTAGGCATTTCAATGTACTATTGGATCCCATACCTTATACGTGGAAGAACCATTAAAAA